AGCCTTATTTTTCTTGTGATTTCGAAGAGCAGGAAGGTTATGCAGCACTTCGGGTAGCAAGACCTAGGAAATAAGTGTGTGTAGGGGGCTTGTCTGACTTTGGGCTTGATCTCTTTAAGTTATTGCTGTCTTGGGATCTCACGGCAAGGAAGGCGGCTCAGAATTGCCGATTGTGGTGGCTTAAAGAAAGCCCAGACACCTGCATGGCTCTAAGAGTCGGATCAGATTTTAATTAACATTTGTTAAGTCCTCTGAAATGTTAAGGCTTAAAGCACTTGTATGACTGCGTGACTCTGTATTTTTTTTAATGAAAGTCTTGTGTGGTGGATCTTGGAGCGTTTAAGTACGACTCTCTTTACACTTTCAGCCAGTTGAGGATAGAAAGATTCAGTAATTAGGAAGAGTTTGTTCCTAAAAGCTTCTCTATGTATTAAACATTAACAGAATGTTTCTAACTATGAAATGAATTAGACCCAACTAAACTGTTGTGTAAATTAGCAGCATTCACTCTCCAGTTTTCAGATTAGTTACATTAATTCTAAATACTGCATTCTGCCAGCAAGAGACTAGTAAAGACATAATAATAAAAATTGAGTATGCCTCATTAAAACATTGAGAAAAAAGATATACTGCTTTTTTTTTTTTTTTTTTTTTTTTTTTTTTGGTAACGTATTGTAATCTGCAACTTCCATTGAGTTTGCTGGAATTTATCCTCTCCTAACACGACACCGATAATTATCTTATTTTGGTTTTTATTACTTGGTAAGATGAATGAACATTGTTTCCACTGCGCGGAGAAGCAGACTTTAGCTCTATTAGGAATGTACGGAGCTGGCAGCGGTCCCGTTCCTCAGCAGAACGTTATGCAAGTCCTGCAGCCTCTCGGTGTGGTGGAGCCCATCTGTGCTTCGACACTTCAAGAACAGCAGTTGTTTCCCTTAGCCAGGCTGCTTTTGCACAAACAGCAGCCAAAAAAGAAAAACAAAGCAAAGAAACAAATAGTGACCAGGGTCCAGGTCCTGCAGGGACCTGTGTGGGCAGATCTTCGCATGGTGCAGCTCTCACAATGTGTGAGATGGAAACTGGTGTTTGCCATCATGCTTAATCTTAAAGTTATGTGGATTTTGGTACAAAGAACAATTTCTCTGTATTGACTGTTGCAACCACAAGTTTTTGCTCGCAGGACAAGCTGACGGTTGGCTTGGTAGCAGTAGAAAAGCAATAGAAGAAATGTGGAACTTCGTCTTTTGCATCCTGTAAATGTTCCTGTTTTGATGCACTGTGTGTTGTCTTTGCTGCAGCACATTGCATTTATTCTCTCATATCTTCTAGCAAAATTGGATATCCTTTACTTTCTTCCTTAATTTGGTGATGTTTTAAAAAATGCAGGCAAAAAACTTCCTGTGCATTTGCAAATTATTTTGAAGAGTGTGTTTAATAAGCTTTTAATAAGTTAGAAGATTTTAGGCTTTTGCATGGTGTGTGTGTGTGTGAGTTTATTTTGGGGTTTTCTTTACAGATAAAAACTTTAAAGACTGGGAAAAGGCTGTTCCCCTGTTCTCCCTGGAGAGCCTGGCCTATTCCTTCCCTTTCCTCTCCACTTCTTAAGTACCTTGTTAAACCCCTGCTAAAAACTCAGCGAAGAAAAATTTTCTCTCTGTGCTAATATCTAGGGACTGTTTGGCACAGCTTAGTCCTGACTTTGACTAAAAGCATTGAGATGCTGCTTTAATGATGGTCAATAAATAACCATCCCTGTGAGCATGAATCTGGATTAAAGCCCAGCCTTTGGCTCGGTGACGTTTCATGGGATACATGCCCACAAGAGTGGTGACGGTTTGGCTCTTTCCATCCCCATCCCCTCTTCCTTCTCCAGGCAGCTGCAGGGAAAGTGGGATATTGAAATGGTTCTTCGGGATTTATTTCCTTCTTAGGTTTTGAAAAACAGAAAATAAATGAATGTCTGAGCAGTCATTTCCTTTGAAGGCCCTTACTGGGAGAGCTGGAAGGCAGCTTTGGTTTCACATGAGCCCGAGTATGTGCTCCGTGTCCCCAGGCAGGTCCCTTGCTTGGAGTTTAGTTTGGGACTGTGGCTGCACAGAATGTCCACACTTAAGGACATCATTGTCTTTTTAAAATAACATTCCTACTCTCATGCTTGTAATTTAGGACAAGGATTTTGCATTTCTGTTTTAAATTACTGTTTAATTGATCCCTGTTTTGCTCTGATCTCTGATTTGATGATAAAAGCTTGTCACCAGCACATAACTATCAAAACCATTAATAGCTGTCAGAGTTTAAGACAAGAAACGTCATACTAACAATAAGTACATCTTTTCTTTTTCTTTTTAATATATTCTTTATAAATGATGCACCTGTTTAAGTTTTATTTCTCTTGTGTACAAAATCATAAGTGCAATTAGATGAGGAGCAGTGAGACACTCCGGGAGTGACTTATTGGGTAGCACTTCCCAAGCAGGGTATTAAACTGGAAGCCGAGAGCTGTTAAGTGCAGCAAGTGTGAATTCCTCCTCTATAATTCACAGGCTATATCATATTGTCACGTTGGAATTATAAAGTAGCCCTATGCAAATAGTGTTTTTAAGATGCAGGGACAAATGATGAGATATAACTGGGGCTATGCCTCAAATAAGGATCCTTAGGTCTTCAACAGCAGAAAACACTGAATCAAGAAAGTAAAGGGAAAAAATGCTGCCTTATTTAAAACTTGTTATAATTATCAAATATGAACCCATTGGAAATACTTGTTTCTAGCTTTCATGCTCTAAGCTTATATTTAGTAATTTATGTCATTGGTTACTTACACAGTAAAGCAGCATTTGACACTGGTATCCATTTGTTTTCTTATTCTGTGATCCAGTTATGGGAACTCCTGGCACCTTTGGCTCCTCTTTGGGTCGGTGTTTGAACTGGAGATATGCTATTTACCAAGTGTATTATCATAGGTCACAACTTCCATGTAGTGGTAATATATAACAGCATTTGGAAGTCTACTGTTTTCCTTTAGTAATTATTTGGGCTGGAAAGAGTTGTAAGAGCTTTGGAAAATGAATCTACATCTAACTGCAGTTGCCTAGCAAACCTCACTCAGTTAGTAGCCTCTAAAAAGCCATCTTTCTCTGCGCAAGGCTCGAGAAAGCCTAGTAACACCCCAAAAATACCAGTTGTGTTAAGGTTATCTGAGGCTGTTTCAGTACTTGCTTAAAATTGGGTCATCTGCTGTTACAAAGACGCTGCTAATTAAAACTAAGATGAGCAAGGGCTTACAGTGGGTGCGATCGCAGAGCTACTGAAGTGCACGTTGCCGCGCGCGTGTCCTCGAGGAGCAGAAGCTGTTAAGCTCTCGAGGAGCAAATATCCAGTTCCTCAAGCAAAAGCTCATCTGAGCTCTGATGCCTCTCTGAGATTCTAAAAAGGGCTCCAAATGTTAAGCAGAGAAGTCAGTTTGCCACAAGGACTGATTTCGCTCCATCCCTCCAGCCCATTCGTGGGATACAGCCGACTCCTCCAGCCTGTTCTGACCTCTGGATTTGACAAAAGGATTTCAGCTAAGTGTCATGTCATGTTGCTGTGCAAAGCTGAACAATCCCTTAAAAATCACAGCTTTACCCTACTCTATATCCATGACGCTGTGTATTTCTTCAAGCGTGTCTCAATGTGTACGTGGCAGGTTTTAACTGCAAAACCTCAGCAAGTTGCTCCCGTTTTACTGCTCCATCAGGCTGGCAGCGTCAGATGGAGACCCAGGAATGAGGTCTCTCCATAGCAGAGGTTTTTCTCTAGGCAGAAGTGTTTTGAGTTACCTTTGAAGCATGTTTGAAGCGTGAGGCTTTAGTCAACAGGTATCTGTAAGATCAGCAGCAGGGGTGGCTGCATCCTAGACAGAGATGTGAATGTTAATTACTGTCCTTCAGGAAGTTATGGCATGTGTTAATTGGTGTTTTGGCTGCAAAAGGTGCTGGTAAATAAGGACATCGAAGATTGTCCTTAACCTTAGGCTTTGGTGATGTCAGACTCTTCGAATTCATCATTTGAAGTCCTATCAATCCAAAGGCAAGAACAAATGGAGATAATTATTCACCGTCTTAAATCTTCTGAATTTCTTTTCTTCAAGTTTATATAATTTTAGTATTTCTGCAAAGGTTCTTCTGCTGTTTAGCATGGGATTAGAGTGTTTTTGTAAATAACAGTCTTCATCGCTGAATGTCTGAATCTACCTGTCACAGTCAACCAAATCTCTTCACATATGTCAGGCTGCTAAAAAGATTTTCTTGTAACCAGGACTTTGAAATTCTCTTTTCAGGAATCTAGATGACTGAAAAGCATTACGGAAATGGATTAAAAATATCATCAACTGTTCTAGTTAATAAAATGATACCAACTTTATCCACGTAAGTGCAGATACAGCTGCTGCACTCTCACCACTGCTCTTCTTCATTCATTTGATATTAAACCCATTTATCTTCAAGTGGGATTTCAAGGCATGCAAAGCCTTTTAGAATAATTCAAAATGTATGTTTCAAGTAATTGAAAACAACATCTTGTTTTCTCCATTTTTGTGGTCATTGCAGGACAGAAATGCTCGGCTGAATCCCTGCACTTGTTTCGCTGCTATAAATTCTTGTGTCAGTCCCATTAGCTTAACGTAATGTGACTGATCCAATTAGACCTGATGTGTCGCGGCAGCCACCCACCAGCCTGCAGATTCACATGGGCCTTTTCAGGTAATGGCAGCTTTATGCGGTCCTTGAACCTGTGGCAGCCGGTGAAAAATGCAGATTTGTTTATTTTAAAGCCACTCCCCCTTTCAAGGCCCCTGGGTGGGGTCACCCATTGTGAGGTGGGGCCAGGTGTAGGGTGGCTGTGCAGAGCCCACCCCCGGGCCTGGTGTCCCCCACAGGCTCTGGCCCTGCCTGTCCGGCCCCCAAGCTGGGAGGGCTCCCCCATCCCAGCAGCTCTGGCCACATCCTGGGGACCACATGGCTGGAGAGTTTGGGCAGATCCAGGTGGGCACCTACCTGGAGATCAAGCGCAGCGATGGGCGCATCCACCAAGCGATGGTGACAGAGCTCCATGGAAACACTTCCAGCATTACCGTGGAGTGGATCGAGAAAGGGGCCAACAAGGGCAAGAAGGTGGATCTCCAGCTCGCCTTCGCCCTCAACCCACACCTGGCCCCAAGGAGCATGCCAACAAGCGGCATTGAGGCCCTGCCATCAGCCAGAGGGGACCAGAGCCTGGTGATCGAAATGCTGCCGCAGCCCATCAAGGTGGAGAAGCCATCCGGGGATGGCAGGGAGCCCGTGGCTCGCCGACCTGGCACAGGGTGCTGTAACCGTCGGTGGACGTCGCCATGTGTACGGCAGGTGGAGAGGCTGCAGGAACAGCGGGAGCGCCGGCGCCTGGAGATGAGGGAGCGGCGAGCCCAGCAGGCCACCGCGTCACTCCATTCCAGGGCCGATGTGATGGACATGATCCAGGAATACCGCAGCCACCTGGACCGTGAGGCCGTGCAGACCGCCAAGCCCAGCCGGCCCCATCGCATCTCTGTGTGTGTCCGCAAGCGGCCGCTGAACCAGTATGAAGCCGACCTCAACGACTTCGATGTGGTGACCGTGCCCTGCCAGGACGTGGTGATGGTGCATGAAGCCAAACAAAAGTTGGACCTCACTCGATACCTGAAAAATCAGGTCTTCCGCTTTGACATTGCCTTCGATGACCATGCCACCAATGAGCTGGTGTACAAGCACACTGCCCAGCCTCTGGTGGAGACTGTCTTCCAGGGGGGCATGGCCACCTGCTTTGCCTATGGCCAGACAGGCAGTGGCAAGACTTACACCATGGGAGGAGACTTTTCCATCAAGAACACAGAGTGCTCCAAAGGGATCTACGTCCTGGTAGCCGAGGACGTCTTCAGCAGGCTGCAGGACCCGAACTGCCAGAAGCTGGAGCTTCGGGTCTACGGTGCCTTCTTTGAGATTTATGGGGGCAAGGTGTTTGACCTGCTGAACTGGAAGAAGCAACTTAGGGTGCTAGAAGATGGTAAACAACAAATTCAGGTGGTAGGACTCCTGGAACAAGAGATCACCGGCGTAGAAGATGTCATCAAGCTGATAGAAACTGGTAGCAAGTGTCGCATGTCAGGCCAGACATCTGCCAACACCCACTCTTCCCGGAGCCACGCCATCTTCCAGATCCTACTCAAGAAGAGGGGCCATTTGTACGGCAAGTTTTCCCTGATCGATTTGGCTGGGAATGAAAGAGGAGCTGACATCTGCACCGCAGACAGGCAGACACGGCTGGAGGGGGCTGACATTAATAAGAGCCTCTTGGCCCTGAAGGAGTGTATCCGAGCGCTGGGCCGGAACAAAGCCCACACGCCCTTCCGAGCTAGCAAACTCACCCAGGTGCTGCGGGACTCCTTCATTGGGGAGAATTCCTCCACCTGCATGATCGCCACTGTGTCCCCGGGCATGAGGTCCTGCGAGCACACCCTGAACACGCTGCGCTACGCCAACCGCGTGAAGGAGCTGGGCGTGAGCTTGAGTGCCCTTGGACAGCCCTCTCAGGAGGTGTCGCGGTCCCTGTACCGCTCAAAAGATGGGAAGAAACTCTGGGCTTTGCAGAGTTTGCCCGGGACAGCTGAGCCGCAGCAGTTGAGGGTACAGGCAGAGGGGGAAGTCGCTCCCCAGTTGTTCACTTTCAGTGCCAGAGGGAAAACGCAGAAGAAGAGGAAGGAGATGGAGAAGAGGACACTTATTGAGGAGCATCAGGAATCTCTGCGGTGGTTGAGAGTATTCTTAGAAGTGGCTGAAGAGATAGACTACGACGTAGATTTTTATGCTGCGCAGTTTGAAGCAGTCCTGGGACAAAAGATCGGCATCCTGACGGAGATCCAAGAAAAAGTCCGCTCTTTCCGGGCGGTTCTTTGCAAGGAAGAACAGGGCGGCAGCCAGCTGAGTGCCAAGAGATCCCGTGCGCTGTAGCTGCGCCGGGCCCCATCCTCTACAAGTGCTCTAAGATGAGAGCTGTTGCAGTGCCGCTGCCTCAACTCCCAGCATCTTGGCTGCTTAAAAAATTCTTAAGTGTGTCTGCAGGGAAATCCTGGTGGTTTTTCTTGAAAGTAGTGGCTCAGACTTGTAGGAGAATATTCCTGTGGTGCTTTCAAGTATTTTTTTTTTTGTTGTGAAAAGTAGAGCCTTATTTTGCAAGGATCAGACTTATAAGAAAAGGACTTACAGAAAATGTTACTTGCCTGATCTGTGTAGATTTTCCTCTCATGCTGGTAAAACATTTATATATGTATATATATACACACGTATGTGCGTGCATATATACACACACATATTTATGTATGTAGCTTTTTAGATGCGTCTATTCCCATTATTCTGCCACTCTTCACCAAAATGCAGGTGAGGAACGCATTTGGTGTGGTTTTTAAAAGGTGTTCATGCAGAGCAGCGCCATTTTTAAGCATAAACTAGATGATCTTTAGAGGTCCCTTCCAACCTTAACCATTCAATGATAATACTTGGGGGAAATGGGAGTTATTTTGCCATGGCATAAGCAGTGTTTTTTCTTACAGCATCTGTTTACTCTCGTTTGCTCTCCCCTCGTCTGTCTGTCTTAATCAAGTTCTCAGGAGTCATTTAAAACAAATGCTAGGACCTTCCTTCGCAAAAATCAGATGAAGGATCCTGGCTCTTGTGTAGCCCATGCGGAGAGGATGTGCCATGAAGCCTTGCAGAGGGACGCGGCTCTCAGAGGCCTGACGGAGGCTGGAAAAGCTGCATCCAGAGAAGCACCTTTGGCGGGTGCCTGTCCCTGTAATGCAGCCTGTGGCACCATCCCCAAGGAGAACCGCTGCAGAGCCGCTCTCTGGAGAGAGCTTACAGGATCAGGCACCTACCTGTGCTTAATATTCAGATATTCAGTTTGCAAATTAATTAGCTGAAGTTCTTGGAAGGATAGCAAAGCAGTGGAAGAAATTAAATGCTAAAAATTGTATCTATCGATGACAATCTCCCTCCATTTCCTCACCCTGTCTGATCTCTCTCTAGTTGTTGGTCCCATCCAGCCATTTATCCCAGCAAACATGACAAGCAGCTGATCCGGAGTCAGAGGAAGTCACGGGAAAGACCTTAGCAGCGGTGCAGGCAGGGCGGAACTAGGAGCAGGGAGCATCCGCTCCTTCTGCTTTGCCCTGTTTTTTTCTTCAGTGATGAAATGATTAGACACCAAGTGCTGTTTAAATGCGGTCGGCTCCTCGCAGTAATAATCCGCCACGCCTTTCGGCTTCAGTGCCCTTTACAAGCATTTCTGTATTGGCATCCTATTTGTTTCCGTCTTGGTTTCAGCAGCTAGTAGTGCTCAGAGATGGAGGTATCGCTTGCCAGATGAAGATGCAATCTGCCTGCAAATACACATGAAAAATAAGGAAACACCAGTTCCTTTGATAAAAGGGCCTTGTATCTAGAGGGGACTTGTCAAGATGGAGGGAAAACCCACCTGTCTGAGAGCTTCTTTCCTTAGCATTCCCCGTGGACCCCTGTGTTTGAGGGAATGGCCATAGGAGCAGGAGCTGCATGCCCCTGGGTGCAGGTGCATGTGAGTACCCTGGCTGTGTGCTCCCTTGCTGGGGTGCTCTGGCCGATTCCCACTTATGGGGGGCAGGAAGTGTTTTCCACAGCAGGCGAGCGATAGATGGGCTCTCCTGGCTATCCATGGCGCTTAACTCCACATCTAAGCTCCTGCTGTTCACACGCTGCTGCTGCCCGTTAGTTGTAAATCATTAGCATGAACTATTTTGGCAAAAAGGGCTCAGAATTAATTGAGTTGGGCGCAGTTCTCGAAATACGGTTTTAATGAGCTGGAACAAAGTCTTACCAGGGCGGGATGGCTTGCAGGGGATAGGAAAATGAATTTTATTCTGTCTTTGTTTGTAGTCACATATTCGGGAGGCGGGTTGCATCTGAGCTCAGCCGCTGACTCACAAGCACACCCTGCTGCTGTACAAGGACGATGCTAAAGGAGTTCACTGAATTAGCCCTTTTCCATCTTTTTTGGTTATATGAAGTATTGATTGACCTCCTTTCTTTCTTTGATGATCTTCATCAACATGATTTCCCTGTACTTTCTAAACTGAAAGCCTGTGTACGTGGAAGAAACTCATTCTTGTTTCCTGTCATTTTAGCAAGACTTTTAACAGGTTTCTCTGGGTCTGTAGCCACAGAGCCCCCTTTGTATTTTGAGCTTGAAAACGGAAGGTCACCACATCTACAGGTGTCCATAGAGCCCGCCTGTGTGTTCACAGGTTCAGTGAAAATCCATCCTGATCTTTTAACAGACTTTTTTTGTAGTGAAGTCAGAATCAGATAAGTGTCCTGGGCTTTCAGCTTGCATTGCTCTGGTGGCCATGAATGTTCAATTAAATAAAGATTCCTAATTAATTATAGTAAGGTCAGCTATTTACTTAGCCTGTTAAACAACTGAAGCACATTTATGGGGTGCATTTCTGTTTGTAGCTGATTCTAGCTGAATGAGCAAGAAAAGCGAGCGTTGTATAAACACAGCCTGGTTAATCTAATCATTTAATGTCTGATAATTAAACGTAAATACTACTATTTGGTTATGCTACAGAGATTTAAGTCTGTTCTCTTCCTACCTGTGTTATTTCTAGGGAAAGTCTCATTGTTATTTGTAATTTGAGCAGTCCCTAGTTCCTAGGGATTTTTTGTCCCCCAGTATTTCATATGCCTCTGCTTGACTTCAGCGCAGTCCTCACTGTGCCAAGAGTTTCCTGAGGGCCCAATATAGATACCCACAGCTTCCTTGGGCAGCAATTCCCATTGCAAAGTAAATAACGTACATATTGCTTGAATTCTCCAACTGCTGCTTTCCTTAGGCCGAACTTGGAACCATGCCTTTGACTGTAAAACGTATTCTTATCTTTCATATCAAGGTTTGCATGCTAATTTGGTCAGGGCACTGTCACAGTGCGTCCATATCTCAATACAATCTGCGTTAAAATCCCGGTTAACTTTCCTTCTTGTTTATTCCATGCCACGTGTTTTCCTTCAGGAGTCCTCCAAGATGAATTCCGTCTGTCCAAGGCACCTGAATCGCCCCACACTCCCTCGAGCTGCAGGGACAGTCACACCACAATCTGCTGGGAGCTTCACTTGATTCATCCGCAGTTTTTCTGAACCATTCGGTCGCTTTCCTCTCTTCTCCAGCATCCTCTCACCCTCCTCCGGGCTCAGCCTGCTCCCGTGCAGCCGTGGCTGTCCCTGCCGGCCGTGGCGTGGGAGCTCTGCTGCCGTGCACTGAAATCTCCCCTTGCAGCTCTCCCCAGTCTGTGCCGGTCCTGCCAGCTCTTGTGTCTCACAGAAGACCAGCATATCATTTCTGGTGGGCCTCCTGCGCTTATTTCGTTATTGGAACTTTAGAACTGCTTTTCTAGACTTCTAGGTTGCATAAAAAAAGCTTGGAAAGGGGAAGTCAAAGACCTCCAAGGAGAAGGCCATATTTAAAGCAAATACTTACTTTATCTTACGAACTTTAGAACCAGAACTTTAGAAAGAGGATGTTCAAAAAAGTTGTTCATTACAACTCTTCTTAAATCCTCCTGTTCCAGGCGCTAGTGATGAGGCCCGTGGAAAGGAACCGCTGTAGCTCTGCTCTCAGCTAATCCTCCAGTTATCCGTTATCTGTTAGCCAGTGTTTGTGCCCATCGGCTGTGCGTCCAGCACACCTGGGAAGCAGGAAGGGCAGAAATCTTCACTGGGATACTGCACTGATAAAGAGCTTGTCTGTTTTTTTTTTCCAAATGAATTACCTTTGAGCTTGCAAGACAAACTTAATCCCTTTATCTTGGCCTGAGCTGGCAGCACAGGGCAAGTTCAGGACTGTGGGACGTTATTTGGTGACTCTGTCTCTATGGAAGGACCAGGAAGGACTTCACCGGGGGGACTGGGCAGTGCCAAGGTGCAGTTGCAAAATGCACCTTTGAGACTCTCCTGGGCATGGGGTCCCATTCCCAGCCCTCATCCGGGTGTCCCATCACATCCCACATGTGCACAGCCATGGACAGAGGTGCTGGGCAGCCGGGCAGGGGCGGGAGCGCTGGGCAGGGCTGCAGCCCAGACGTGAGACGAGCAGCGCGCCCGGCCCAGCACAGTGGGAACTGCGCGGGCTCCAGCCTCGGCCCCCCAGATCCGCCGGCTGGAGCAGCTGCAGTTTCCACGTCAGCTCGGAAGTGTCAGCCAAAATGGTGGCTGCAAACGAATGGATCAGAATAAACTGCCCTCTGCAAAGACAGTCTGGGAGAACAAGCTGCCTTCTGGTCCTGCCTCTGCCGCAGCCGCTGTGCAGTTTGCTCGATTTAGCATCAAGTAAGCACAGCTGAATATAGCCCTGTATTTGGGGCTTTATTATTGTCTGAGTATTACAGTGCAGCCTGTTATCATGAGGCTAACTCACAAGGTCTAGTCAGAGCTTTCTCCAGTTTTCTGCTCAGACAAAGCCCAAGGCAACTGGGATTTTCCAAGTAGAGACTGAGTGTTGTTGCTAATAATAGCTTTAGTCAGTACTGTATGTTCAGTGATGCCCATCTACGTTTGTATTCCCATAGATGCTGAAGTTTTGCACTTTCGATGTCATGGTGTCCAGGAATACAGTTGTATTAGTGCTGTAAAGGTACATGCAAAAAGAGGGAACTTTCATAGTTAGCCTTTCACCCTGGAAGCTTGTGGCTGAAATTCATCCATGCCATCAGGCAACATCATATTGCAAATCGTCCATTTCTTACTTTGTGCCCAAATCCTGTGAATCTTTGAAATATGCACCTGAACTGTGATTTGTGAGATACTTGTATCCCTTTTGTTTTTCTACAGAAGCACGTAGTATCTCATAGGAGATGTTGAAAGACATTACGTTGTGAAGCAATTCACCTGGTGCTCTGCCTCTTGCTCCCCTTTAGTGCTGC